TATATGTATATATATATATATATATGTATATATATATATATATATATATATATATATATATATATATATATATATATATATATATATATATATATGTATGTATATGTATATGTATATGTATATATATACATATACATATATATATATATATATATATATATATATATATATATATATATATATATATATATATATATATATATATACATATATATATATATATATATATATATATATATATATATATATATATATATATATATATATATATATATATATTTACGACCGCCGCTACCGCTATATATATATATATATGTATATATATATATATATATATATATATATATATATATATATATATATATATATATATATATATATATATATATATATACATGTGTGTGTGTGTGTGTATACATGCATAAATATATATATAAACATATATATATGTATATATATATGTATATATATATATATATATATATATATATATATATATATATACATATATATATATATATATATATATATATATATATATATATATATATATATATATATATATATATATATATATATATGTATGTGTGTGTGTGTGTGTGTATAATATATGTATAATAGATATCTATACATACATATATATACATATGTGTATGTGTGTCTATCTAAAAAAATATATATATGTATATATATATATATATATATATATATATATATATATATATATATATATATATATATATATATATGTATATATATATATATATATATATATATATATATATATTTATATATATAAATGGTAAAACACCACCGTGTTGACACTATGGTAGAAACTTACAATACACATTGTGTGTGTGTATATATATATATATATGTGTGTGTGTGTGTGTGTGTGTGTGTGTGTGTGTGTGTGTGTGTGTTGATGCATATAAATATGTGTGTGTATATATACATACACACACACACACACACACACACACACACACACACACACACACACACACACACACACACACACACACACACACACACACACACACACACACATATATATATATATAAATATATATATACATATATATATATATATATATATATATATATATATATATATATATGTATATATATATATATATATATAGATAGATAGATAGATAGATATATATATGCATATATATATATATATATATATATATATATATATATATATATATATATATATATATATATATATATATATATATATATATATATGTATGTATGTATTCACACACACATGTATATATATATATATATATATGTATATAGATGTGTATATATATATATGTATATATATGTATATATACATGTATATATACATATATATATAAATGAAGTACATACAACTTTCACCGTCCTTTATCATACAAAGTAAAAGGACGTATTGGAAAAAAAAGGCGAAATCTTTGGTCCGAGAAAGTGTAAAAATAGGAAGAGTCATAATCAAAACATTCGTGAAGGATAAACAGCCTTTACGGTAAGTTATTGGAAAGGTTCATGGAGATGCGATACCAGATTGCCGAAGCATTAAGAAAATTGATGTCGTCGTTTGTACCACGCGACGTGAGATTGATTGCCACCCCTTGGTTTTCTTGACGATGCTTTCATCCGCGCGAGAGAAAAAATATGGTTTGACGACCTGCACGCCATCTATGCTTGCAAAAAGGAATTGTTATTCAAGAATGGAGTAGGAGAAGAGTGTATTTGATTAAATGTATATAAGTATTTAGCGAAGTATCTAAAAGACGGAGAAGATTGATAGACTTATCCTAGTCGCTTTAGCTTAATAGTAACCAACTTTCTACAACTTGATACAAATAGATAAACGTTTGACCATTAGAAACTAGAAATTCAATTGATGTTCCGAACAAATCTTGCTGGACAGATAACAGAGGGACTTGTTTTTAGAAAGACATAACTGTCGGTGGCGTCGCGTAAGGGCCGTAAAAGCAAACTTCATTACCTATTACGAGCGAGGCTGAATAGCAGGGATACTTTCGGCCGAGAGCAAGAGCGTTAAAAGGGCAGAGCCAAGA